TCCCTTGGAGTGGCTGGTGGTTTCAAACTGCTGACCACCAAGGCTCCCCAAATTCCAGCAGTTGTGTGCCCCAATGTAGTAAACTTGGAAAATGCAGAAAAACCAAACAAAACAAAGATCACCACCTATAATTCCCATCTCTCAAAATGTCCCGTGTAACATTCAGGAGCTTTCTCTGCACAGACACACACAGACACACTGTCCTTGAAGACTTACAAATTGTATGCTATGTGAACTAGCTGCCAATAAAACGTGACAATTTTTTAAAAGATTAAAAAAAAACCCTCAAACACCAGCCTCACTGCTGTCACCCCAGCCCCGCGCTCTCCCATTCAGCAATGTGGTACACGCTCCCTAACAGCGAGTATGATTCTACAGTCAATGACTGCACATTATGCTCTGTTCTTGTCTACATAACAAGTGCCCCTGCCCCCCACCCCGGAAATTTGTATCTTTCTCCATTTTTTTATACTAGAAATATATGAGGACGTTCATATAATTCTTCTTTATGTCTCTGAATTTTTCCTTAGGAGTGTACACGTGCTTCAGAGAACTTGAAGACAGTAACTCTTTTACATTCGATATTCCCTAGGGAGGTGATCTTACAGCTCTGGGCAATACACACCACCCCTCTCCCCAAAGCTGCTCACCCCTGGAAGGATGAGACAGTACGGAAAGCACCGGAGTAGAACACGTACCTCTCGTTTTCCAGGGACTTCAAAATCTCCGAGCTCTTCTTTTGTCTGTGGAGAAACCCAGTAAAGACCCCGGCCGTCACCGCCAGGCCTGTTTCCGACAGAGCTGGGTGCCCTTCACTACAGGCGGCACACAGGGGGCTTTGTGATGGGGCTGCTGCAACCTCAGCCCCACGAAGGAGCTGCTTGCTCAGGCCAGGGACACAAGCCCTCGTTTCCCTACACACTGCCCTAGTGTGTGTCGTGACCCTCACAGACATATGCCCGTGGTTTGACAGTTATGTAGCCATGACGTCAGGCAGCATGTAAGGACGTAATCACCCCCATGATGCGATCTGATAAGGTCAGAAGGGAGTGGGGGTGGGATGCAGCCCTTACAGTGGTCACAGCTGTGCTGTGAGGAAAGGAGGGTCTCCTTGGGGTGTGGCCTGTCTCACCTTCATCTTCAAACTCAAGCTCCCTGCCCTGGAGCCAGTTGGCTCACTCCAATCGAAGGGTGAACTAAAGAATGTGAGTCTTTAGGGGCGCCGAGAGCCCATCTTTCCTCCTACGGAGCACCTGGTGGATCTCAACTGCTGACCTTGTGGTTAAGGGTCCAGTGAGCAGTACACTACACCAGTTGGGGACACGAGGAGATGGAAGTGACCTGATCACCGCAACAGGACAGAAAGTCCAGGAGCAAAGCATGGACGTTGGCCCCAGGGTCCCTGCCCTGAGAAGCTTGTAGACACAGGGGAAGACTGGTGCTAAGCCAGACGAAGAGACGCTGGGCCCACAGATGTTGACAGAAGTCAAGGACCTTCACAGGGCTAAAGCAAAGAGAAAGCAGTT